TTTAATTTTTTTATATATTAATTTATTTAAAAAAATTTTAACTATATTTTAATTATTAAAACGTTCTAATTTTATTTAATTTCAACTAAAAAAAAAAGGTATAAAAAGTCGTATGTGTTTTAGGTGAAATGAAATACATTTAATATTACAATCGTCTTGCCAGCTGACCCAACCAAAGGCAGAGAATGACAAGAAACTTAGGACATGTTTGCTTTGGGGGAAAGGTAGACAAAATTTTTTATTTGATTGAAAAATAAAAGGAATGAAAGAAAGTCATTTATTTTATTTTTATTTTTAATTATTTTAATTCTTTTAACTTATCCAAATAAAATAGACATTAATAATTATTGAATATACTTTTTTTTAAACATGAAAAATTTATGAGCAGAAAAAATTTTCAAATAATTAAGAAGAGTAGATTCTCAACTAATTGAATCTAAACATTAAAACTTAAAGATAAATCACTTAAATTAATAAATTAGTTCAATTATTGAACTTACTTTTAACATTATCAATAATTATTAAACTCATCTTTCAATTTTCGTCATTTCTATTTCTCTCAAATCAAGAGGGGAGAGAGAAAAAAAAAAGAAAAGAAAAGAAAAGAAAAGAAAACTCATCCTTTTCTTTCCCTTTCATTTATTTTATTTTTCTTAAGTCCAACATATTTTCAATCTCATCAATCTTAAAAATTGAGCAGCTATTTGACGTGAGAGTTTTGAGGGACAATTCCATCTTAAAGACACCAAAATCAAAAAACACGGTTATCCTCTCTTATAAGAGAATGAATAAAACATGTTTTACAAAAGAAAAAAATAATAATAAAATACTTCTAGATAAGCTAATAGCGTATGAGAAACTTCCAAGTCCAAGGGTTCATAAGCTCCACATATGATTTTATTATTTTTGTTTTGAGGTGAGCTCCTCATGTTGTTGACTGTCGCTCGCACTGTTTAAACCACACAAACTGGTATATAAAGCTAGTGTCGTCCCAAGCAATTCCACGTAGACAAGAACACAGCGTGCCAGGAACGCCATTGTGTAGTCAAAGATACGTTTCTCATCTCAGGCGGTGCTAACGGCCAACGCTAGCTGTTTCTTTCCCTAACTTCCCTTCGACCTTTTTGAATCTCTATATATATCTCATCACCATGTTCGATGAGTCCGCTTCTTTCAGAATTTTTGTCTAACAGAAACAGATCAAAGTTTGAAGTTGAAGAACCCGTCCATTCTCATGAGAAAGTTGATAGGAAAAATGATAAAATCTCCACTTACGAACCCAGGTGAGTTATTTTGATAAAAAAATCCAGAATTATTGTGATCTGAAAGTTCGAAGTTTGATTTAGAAATTAAGAATACTAACTTGTTTGTGGATCAAAAACCCTAGTTCTGGTGTAAAATTCAAGAGTTTAATCTTCACTCTTAGCTTATTTGATCAGTAAAAATACCGAGATTTTTAAGAAACAAAACAAGGGTTTTTGTGTTTTTTCCTTTTTTTGTGATCCTTATTGGATTAATTTGGGATGTTAATCTGTTTTTGTGGTCTCAGATAGGCCGAGGGCGGAATGGGAGAGTAGCTTCAGCAGCAAGTCATCAGATAATGTGAATGAAGAATACAAGAAAGCTTTTAGGACGACGTCTTACGTTGAAATGTTGAGTAAAGTCCAGCGCCAGCTGGGAAGAACAAGCTTAGAGAAATTTTCTTCTTCTGCTTCTTCTTCACCTCGCTTGCTTCATCATCTCTCTGACTTCCTGCTTGAACCTAAACAAGAAACTTTGATAAACATGATGGAGAGCTTCAAAATCCATCGACTTCTTGTGGATTACTTCAGAGCTAGCTTTGAGGCATATAATACATGTGAATTCCTCCTCCAAGGTGTCCATCAAACTCAGGCTAACTATCGGAAAATCAAAAGGGTTATCAAGATTAGCAAGAGGGTGCATGATTTTTCAGATTCCACAGATGATGAAGATCAACGTTTGATTGAGGTTATATTGAAGGAGCTATATGGGTTTGTTCTGCTTAAGAACCCTTTATCAATTATTAGCCCAGTGAGATTTGGTGAGATTCATGATAATAACATGGAGTTGCTGCATAAGTTGACATCAAAAAAGAAGAAGATAAAGAGGATATTAAAATTGAAAAGACTCGGCAAAAGGGTTGGAGGTTATAGTCTTGTTATTTCACACAGTGCCCTTGTAGTTGTCTTGCTAGTTCTTGCATTCCACAGTATGATTGGACTCGTAGCAGCACCAGGACTCATTGCCTGCTTTCTAGGTTTCTCCAAGAAGAAAATCAGGTCTGGCACGAGAAGGGTTAAATCAAGCTTGCCTGAGAGACTTGGTGTACAGCTTGACATTGCTGCGAAAGGAATTTTTGTTCTGATCAATGATTTTGATACCATGAGCAGACTGGTTTGTAGACTATACGATGAAATAGAACATCTCAAAACAATTGCCAATATGTGTGTGAGAAATGGGAAAAGTAACGTATTGAAGGAGGTTGTTAGAGAGTTTCAGATGCATGGGCCTGTCTTCTTGGAACAGTTGGAAGAGCTTGAACAACATATTTACTTGTGTTTTCTCACGATAAACAGATCAAGCAGCTTTGTCATAGAGAAGATAATCGACACACAACCAGAAACATAAGGCATGATTTTTGTATATATTTATCTTGATGATGGTAATTGGCTAGATAAATTTGATTCATATAGAGTTCAAATTCCATACAGACAGATCAGTTTCCAGAACGAGGCTTCACTCTGTAAATCTAGGTAAAGAAATGAGTACAGATCTGGCCTGCCTTCTTCGTTCTTTGCTACATGTTACCTTTTGCTCCCAGAAGGCTTCAGACACTGTTTTTCCTGTTCAAATTCGGCTTCTTTCATTCTTTGTTAATGTTTTGTAGAGAGAGGCTGACAGTCTTTTCCTTATTGTATTGATTAGTTATTTATTTCACATTCTATTTGAGTTTATCACCAAAAGTTTCAATCTATTTGAGTTTATTACTAAAAGTTTTACAAACCCACAAATGAATGTCTACTGCAACGCAATTATACAACACATAACCTCGTTGTTTTCTAAGATTTCATATCAATGTAAAATCTAATTTAATTATTATTGAAAAGAATACAGAAGTGCTGTTTTACAGTTCATCTCTTTCACATTGTGATTGATAGAAGTCAAACAAAACATCAAGTTATCAGCCTTGTCAATTGTCAACCACGGTAACGACCTGAACCTGGAAAAATGCTGTGTATCAATTGCTGATGGCGAAAGGGTTCCCTTCTGTGCAGATTTGGTTATGGAGCTGAATTTACTGGATATTTCTCGTTTTCTTGAGTTTCAGTAACAACCATTTCTAGGGATAGGTCAGCACAGTGATCTTAATTTCTTGTATTCTTCAAGCCCTAGTAAGGAAGCCTTAACCTTTAGCCAGTCTGCTGGTTTTGGCATAATGATGGCTATGTATCCTTCTCTCTCTGCCTGCAATCCAAGTAAGAACTGGTTAAGAGATGCTGTGTGTGCAATAAGAGAATGAAGAAGCACTGTTTCTCACACTATTACTTAGTAGAGGTGTTGAATGCTATCAATGATTCAGAAGAACTACCTAGGTCCAAAATGCATTCAAAATTTCATATTCACTGTTTCCACCTTCAAATCATCCTGAGTGATGATATTTTATTATCTACATAGTTTTATACCATTCATCAGCCTAGTAATATCTGATCTGTCACCCAGGCAAACAAATGAGTCAGCTGTAAAGAATCCACCCCAACAATAGATGTTTATTTCTGCAGCAAGGAGCCTTTATCGTGGTTTTATATATTATAATCACACCAAACAACAAAAATAATACCAAACGGAGAACAAGTTTGGCTGGGAGTTGAAGATAACAAACTATAACACCACCACAACTGCCAAAATCCCCTTGCCTATTGTGTTTAGGTCATTCATAAGTATATGTAGCTTTACATTCACCATTTAAACCAATTTTGATCATTTCAAACCCAAACATTCCCAACAAAAAATGATGAAAATCACCTTCTACAATTTTTCGTTGAATAATGAATAATACTGGCAACAAAGGTGCAGAATTCTCACTATTGGTAGAACAACAGGTTCATTCGCCTAAACTTTTTAAGTTTTGGTTCATTAATTACTCTATGATAACCCAAACAAGCAAAAGGGGAACAATATAGTGCTCTATTGGCTATTTTCACTTTTAAAATGTTATCATCCTTTACTCTAACAATTTCCTTTCAAATAACACGATGATGAATGAGAACAAGAATGATGAGACACAATATCAAAATCATTTGATTATGAAGTTGTTACACATGCATAAAACCATTCTCACCGATGAATTGAGCAGCTCTGGCTGTTTCACCAATCTATCATTAACTTCCAACAGAGAGCCTTTAACACAACACCTGCGCAAAGCAAATTAAAAGCTGTGGCATAACCATGCAGAAAGTAATGCTTGTCAAAAGAGAGTATCAAAAGTAAGTATACCTCACAATGTAAGAAGCATCACTAGTGCAAACTTTACACAAAGCTGTATTGGACTCAAAATGCTGTGCATTCTGCAGAAGAACATATTCAACTTGAATGAACACACTGATCCCATAAGAGGAAATGAATTTTTACTACATTACATCTACATAAAGTAAATGAAACAAGTAAAAAAAAAAAAATTCTAAATGAAATCTATAATAATTTCATTAATTTCTAAATGTATTCTTGATTCCAGTTACTATAATTAGCAAAAGAAAGAGACACGGGGAGTTGAGAGGTACCTTCTTCCGCTTTCCGGTGACCTTAATCCCACTCCGATCAGACTTGCCAACATTGAAATCAACGGCTGTGATTCCACCTTTATCCTTAAACGCTACATGTGTAGAAGCCAAGCCAATCACACATAATCTACAAAACAAGATAATTCAATATGCAATCAAGAACATAAACTTTCAGAAAATAAAAATAAAAATTAAAGAAAAAAAAAAGGGAAAATGTTGGAAATCTCACCCATTGGCGTGGCGGTAAACGTACTGATCGTGTCCCGGCTTCATAAAATCTGTAAAATTAATTTCAGTTTAGGATTTCAAAATGCTAATCGAAAAATAGTCAGATTCTATGATTAAACAGACAAAATCGGAAACAAACGAGACCTGGAGCGAAGTAGGAGACGAAGTTTGATTCGACAGCAGACGGAGGTGTGAAAGGGAGGTGATGAACATCGGGGAGCAGAAGCTTATGTAACTCGTGTTCTCCATCATCTTCGTTTTCTCGTACGGGTTCCTGTTGCTGGTGTTCTGAGTTGTCGGGAACTGTGGTTTCTTGAGTGCTCGAGTTTGTTTGGTCGATGATGTTATGCAATTCCGACATTTCGTCTGTTGAGGAAGAACGGCTCCGCCAAGATTTCGCCAGACGGTGGAGTTTCTAAACCCCTCCTGAAGGCAACTGTTGGTACTGGCCACTGGGTTAGTGGGTTATGGGTACTACTTTGGGGATTCGTACAGCCCAATCCAGCGGGTTTCAATTTGGATTTCTGATTGGGCCTTTACCTACCCGGAAAGATGATCGGCCCAATTGAACATAAATTTTGTTGGTTTTTTTTTTTTTTTTTCATAAAAACAATGGTTAATAGGTTAGTATTGTTGGATATTATCAACTAAAAATTCGATCCCTAAATCTGGTGAACAGCTCACCGATCTCAATGAAGTGCGCGGCTATCAGACCATTTGGTGGAGTTCAAATTTTGTTGGTACTTGTTGCCAGGTAAATTATCCATGGATTTTGTAACCTATAAGCTTTGAAGATTAGTTCAATCAGGTCACTATCCTGAACCTCTTTTTTTTTTTTCTTTGGATAGAAAAGGAAGAAACATCATTAACTTAAAAGGAAAAGTACATATGCAAATTCTGAGGAATTCGACCCCAATAATATTAGCAACGCAAGCATACTTGATAGGTTAGGGAATATAGTCAAAAACAACAAAATCTTCCACGATATTATGTCCCATTTTAGCCAAAATGTCTGCAGTCATGTTTGACTCACACATCACATGAGAGATCTTCACTTGGGGGATAAATTGAACAAGGTCCGTGCAGTCAAATAGAAGGGAACTCAATGGGTGATTTTGAGCAGGATCCTTAGAAAGTAATTGAAATGAGTCAGTGTAAATCATTAAATGAGAAAAATTCTTAGCAACTGCTAGTTGGTGCCCATCCTTTATTGCCCATAATTCAGCAACCAAGACTGATGACCAACCAATTTTCCTAGTGTGGTCCAGAAGACCAGAACCCAATTACCCCAGGAGTCTTTGAATAATCCTCCTGCAGCCACTATCCTGAACCTCTTTCCTGAACATTATTTATTATTATTTATTTTGGGTTAAATAATGGAAGCTTGGAACCATTTCATTCCTTTAGGAGTTTGGTTTAAGAGGAGGGGATGGTAAAAATTCTTTTTTTTTTTTTTTTATAAACAAAATATTAAATGTTGAAATAAAATTGACATTAAATTACTTTGGTGTTTAAAACTTGATTTATGGAATGAGTAAAAACGATATTATTTGTCACTTACTCATTAAGTCAAAATTCAAGGGCGCTTGGCT